ATACACAGATTAACATTTTATCCAATCTGGCCTCGTTCATACACAGATTAACATTTTATCCAATCTGGCCTCGTTCATACACAGATTAACATTTTATCCAATCTGGCCTCGTTCATACACAGATAAACATTTTATCCAATCTGGTCCTGTTCATACACAGATTAACATTTTATCCGATCTGGCCTCGTTCATACACAGATAAACATTTTATCCAATTTGACCCTGTTCATCTATTCATTAAAAAAACAAAAAAAAACACAGATATATGTATAAAGCTTTCCTGGTTGATACAGAGGTCATTAAATACATACAAATACTTTCTGTGGTAACAGATGCAATGTTTATGAAGAGACAGTCCAGATATGGGTCACAGACTCACCCAACAAGTTCTGTGATTTCATCATTCCTGTTGAACAAATGCCCCTAGTCCTCCCTCTCAAAAAAATAAAACTGGTCTCACTTGAACAATTTGTCAAGATTAGTTCACATCATCCTGTTAAACCACATGCCACTGTTTCTGGATTTTGTTTTTTCTCTCCTATTTTTGTGGTGTCTGAAGGTTAGTTATGCTACTCATGCCGGTAAAGTCCAGGCACGCTGAATAAATAAAGTATGAGCACAATTCTATTTCAGTAAAGAGGACACGCTTGGCTAACAAAGCACAAGCAGATGATAGTCTGTCTCGCCTGATAACGTACATCAAAATCAAAGCTCACACTTGAAAATTAAGAGTCTGAGGGTCAAACATCTTAATTTATATCATAAAAGTTAAGAAAACAAGTTTGTATCTTTATTGATTAAAATCATATAGCCTCCTCGCTTACATTTCTGTAGTCTTAAAGTTATTGAAATATTTCTTCCAGAGCTACAATATGCATCAGACACACTGATAACAACAAACATACCTTTCTTACCTCACTAGCATTACTGGTGTCAATGACCAGGGGGTGGTGGAGAGTAGGTTTCATTTCTACTGCTAATCTTGGTCTCTTACTGACCACTGAATGGTCAAAACCAGTCACAGATGTACCAGCAAGTGAATGTCCAGGAGGAACAAAACCTTCAGATCTTGTAGTTGTCATGGAGACTAAAGGAACATTCGTTTCTCTTTCATATTGGTATCGGAATACTTCTTGTTGGACCCTAAGGAATGTAACGTGTGGAAAAAAAACAGGATGCATAAGATTTCTCAAGTTTCTACACCGCACTACTCAAGTTCAAAGTATTCTATAAGAATTTCTAAAAACTGCTAATTCACTCTCAACAGTGATATACTAAGGTACTTCCAAAATCAAGTCTGAAAAACACAATTATTTCAGGTTCATTCCTATTTTTCTTCCTTTTAAAGTCTGAGCCTTGATGTTTAAGATGAAAATTACAATGGTTTGAGAATAACCACAGAATATACTAAACAGCTGTTTGAATTTCATCATTCTTCAGTCTTATTCACACAAACTACTACAAGTAGTTGTGTTAAACACTTACGATTTTCATAAGATGTAAGAGGCAACACAGCACTCAAGAATAAAACAAACACTAACGTATCCAAGAAATTGTGCATCAGATTATAACAAGCTTCTACAGAACGGAGAAAACTATAATACGCTTGTACTGAACGGAGAAAACTATAATACGCTTCTACTGAATGGAGAAAACTATAATACGCTTGTACTGAACGGAGAAAACTATAATACGCTTCTACTGAATGGAGAAAACTTGTTTCCATAAAGTACTTCGGACTGCATTATTCTGAGACAACGCTTTATGTCAAACCTTAATACTTTCATTTTGTTTGGTTGCTGTTAAGCACAAAGCTACAACATGGGCTATCTGTGCTCTGCCCACCATGGCTATACTCGACTGTTAGAACTGTAAACCTGTAGACTGGAGGGCAACCTTATTAATATCATTTATAGCAGATTAAAAATTTATTAAGAGTGTTTATTTAAAAGTGTCTAATGAAAATATTTTAAAAACAAACAAATTAATAATATCTATTACATTTTTCACTTATTAGTAACCAAAAAGCTTTAAGGCTAAGATTCAAATCTCCATAAGGCTATGGCTCATAATGTAATTGTCTTTTCAAATATTTTGAAAGAAATAGTTTATACCTCTACCAATAAAATTATTTCAGGGTATGAAATTGTTCACTAAACATTTGATTTGATCTGAAAGTCTACATCATTATAGGGGAGAAAAACAACTTAAAAATTATTTAATTGTGTAGTATTGTTAAATAATACACGATTACTAAATACATTATTTAACAATACTACATGATTACTAAATACAAGTATTGTTAAATAATGTATTTAGTAATCGTGTAGTATTGTTAAATAATGTATTTAGTAATCGTGTAGTATTGTTAAATAATGTATTTAGTAATCGTGTAGTATTGTTAAATAATGTATTTAGTAATCGTGTAGTATTGTTAAATAATGCATTTAGTAATCGTGTAGTATTGTTAAATAATGTATTTAGTAATCATGTAGTATTGTTAAATAATGTATTTAGTAATCGT